TTTACAATGCCAGGTTGGAGCCAGGTCATTATTTTTACTTTTCAGTTTTTCACTGGTCAAGAAGGGGTGGATCCAGAACCTAATCTTGTGAGGGGCACTGGTAGATTATTTAGAGAAATAATCCAGGCAGAATAACCACTTCATCTCTTTGTAATGGTAATGGTGCCAGGAATGCCGGTGTAAGTAGTCAAACCGTTTAAGAACAATGCGACAATTTACCTGGGATCTGCTGGGATAGGGGCTGTAGTAGCGGATAGGGGCTATAGTTGTGGATAGGAGCAGTGGTGTGTGAGCGTTGCAATGTGTGGAAGGGTTGAAGTGTGTGTGAAGGGTGCAGTGTGTGTGTATGGGGGGCAGTGTGTGTATGAGGGTGCAGTGTGTGTGTATGGGGGGCAGTGTATGTGTGAAGGGTAGTGTGTGTATGGGGGGCAGTGTGTGTGTGTTGTGCTGTGTATTAATGTGTAGTTAAAATAAAAATATTTAATATCCCCCCACCTTCTTACCCTGGGGGTGATATTGCCAGCAAGCCCTGGTGGTCTAGTGGGGAAGCCTTGGTTGTCCTAGTGTGGAGTGAACTCTAGCATGTAGCCCCTCGCGAGAACAGAGCATTGCCATGGTAACCATGGCAACAGTCTGAGCTTGCTAGAACCCATCAGAGCTGCAGGTTAAAGCTCCCAGGTCCTCTCACTCCCCTGACGGCTGACCAGCAATGTGCCTGTGGGCCAGTGAGGGAAATTTATGATCTACCCTCTAGTCTTTGAAGGCACACAGCAGTGCCGGTGCCTGGATAGCGCCGATCCTACATGGGCGGGCAGGTAAGAGCCTTGGCCTGCACTATTTGGACCTTCTCCAAGGCGATCAATAACTTATGGGTGGTTTGAGAGTGCCAATCCGTGAGTCACAAGAGGTGGGTCACTTGATACTACTTGATAGTACTGGTATACAGATGGAAGGTCCACCCCTCCATGTGTCTTCGGTAGTGTTAATTGCTATGACGGAACGCTGGCACTCCGACTGAGTACCTCCACAAATCGATACTCCTAGCGCTTGCCGAGGACTCTGAGCACTCCAACCTACACCATCAGCACTGCAGACCCCACTTCCAGCGATACAGCTACGCCGGGGTCTCGCCGTCTCCACCCACCCTGGATCCACAACCAGGATCCAGCTCCCAGTGGGTGAACCTCTCCTAAATCCAGAGAGCGTAGCAGGAACAAATCAAGCTACTGCAAGAGCTTACTCTGGGGAGTAAGTGATTATAGCAATCCCCAGAGTGTAGGTATCCCTTCCCCCAAACATGAGCCAAGGCTTCAAGAAAGGTACAAGATGAACTGGTTTTAATGACCACACACTGGCTTTTATGCAAGTCCCCATGCAAGGGGACATGCCACAGGGTGGGACCCAGTATAACCAATCACAGACAATACAAACAAAACACTCCCACAGTGACATCACAATCCCTCCTCTCTATCCTGGAGATAATTGGGAAGTAATCAAATTATCTCCCAGGACAGAGGCAAGACTCCATTAACCACATGGTTACAAAAAGACATAGAATTACACAATGTTACAATTACTACATAAAACATATACATGCAACATATCCCCAGATAGCTTAGATCTGAGTGCACATTATTATTGAATGGCGCTCAGATCACATACATGCAATTCAATTGCCATGGAGCCAAAGTCTTTTCCATAGTCTTTTGTTACACAAATAGGCTCCATGGCATAGCTATCTGGGATAGCACTACTACCATACTGAAAGTCCAGAATGCCACAGCAGAAATACACAAATAAACCTTTCTGCAGGGGAAAATACCGCTATCAGCACATGGGCCATAGTCGGAAGGCGGAAGGCTAGCCAGTAGTCCCCTCCAGGCACAAGTGGCGAAGGGCACTTCGTCACAATTGCGTCATGCTGACCCAAGGCGCCCTTGATTTCCATACGAATCTCTCGATGGCTTTGTTGATTGATTGGAAGAAGGTCTTTGGTATGGCGATTGGAATGGTCTGGAACAGAAACAGGAGGTTTGGCAGTAGGTTGAGTTTCACGGCATAAATTCTACCAAACCATGATATGCATAAGGAGTCCCATTTTGCCAGATCAGAGTTTTTTTTCGTGGTACAGCTGGGAGGGGTCCTTGGAGAGCCAGATGTATTTGACCCGATTCTCACACCAGTGATAAGGGTATTGAGTGCATAGGTGTGTGGTCTCTACCCTGGGAAGGGTGACAGGCAGTGCTTTGATTTCTCCACATTAAGTTTCAGGTTAGAGAGGCGGCCATATTCTCAGAATTTCTGGATAGGGGTGATGATCTTCGAAAACAGCTTCAGGTCCGTATTCAGGACAGATATGGGTCTGTAGCTAGCACATTGGGCCAGATCACTGCCTTTTTATGGTATGACTGTGATAATGGCTGTTAAGGTATCTCTTGGGAATCGTCCTTCCCTGAGAAGGAAATTCAGCTCCTTTTACAGGTGCGGCAACAATATATCCTGAATATTTCTTGTAGTATGGTGCCAGGAGTCTGTCTGGGTTGGGAGCCTTATGTGCCTTGGCTGCCTTCAGGGAGAATTGCAGTTCTTCCAAGGATATGGGTTCCTCTAGTTCCTCTCGAGCTTCTCTCGTAATGGTGCACCTTACATGGTGTTGTATGTATACGTCTACTTGGATCATGTGTTGGTGTGCATCTGTGGAGTCCAGGTCTGGTTGCAGGTTGTAAAGGCATGATTAGAAGTGGTGGAATTCCCCAACTATTTCGTCTGGCAGTTGGGTCACATGTTTACCTTTGGGTTTGATCTTTGAGATGTGACAAAGGCATGCTTTCATTTGTTGCAAAATTGGAAGTGCTTCAAACTGGGATTTTTTGCCTTCTTTTGGATCAACAGCAAAATACAAATATGAGGAAGGCTGAACTTGATGGACACATCTCTTTTCAGCCTATGTAACTATGTTGTAGAGTTCTGGCCAGCAGTCTATCGCATTTGTTGGTCTGCCTAGTGTCTTTGAGATTTACGAAAGTGTCTGGGATTTACGGATGGTATGGCACAGTCTTTGAGAGAGGATTTGTTTAAGTTCCTGTCTGTTGCCTAGTAGTTCCTTATAGGTGTCCTCGGAAAGGGTTTCCTTGTGGGAGCGCTCTAGGTGTGCCACCTTACTGTAAAGTTCCGTAATTCGACGTGTGTGCATCTTCTTGCGTTGTGTGCAAGTTTTGATGAAGTGTCCCCTGACGACACATTTGTGTGCCTCCCATATCGTCAGGAGGTCTGTGTTGGGCGTTGTGTTGTCTTCGAAATAGCGTTGGAGGGTGGTCCCAGTTTCTTTGATAATGTCAATCTCCTCCAGTGTCTTTTCATTGAGCTTCAAGTTTCTTTCAGCAGGTTTGAAAAGTGGGGAGTGTAAGCAGGTCAGAATGGGCGAGTGGTCGGACCATGTCGCTGGTAGTATTTCGCTTGACTGTAACAGGTTGAGTCCAGTCTGCTGTATCTCTTATGGACTGGGGAGTAGAACGAGAAGTCCCAGACCTCTGGGTGTAGGATTCTCCATCCATCGGTCAAGCTGCCATGCGCAGTGCGGTCAAGGCACAGCGAAGGCTGTTAAGCGGGAGTGAGCTGTGTCCCTGGGAGGTGCCTATTCTGGGGTCTAAAGCAATTTTAAGTTTTTCTGCAACGATGAGGAGGCCTTCTCTAAATTGTTCCAGTTTATATAATTTCTAATGTTTCTTTCTCAGCTCATTTTGCCAGATATCCATTCCTCCTCCTTATACTGTTTCTTGCAATACTCCCCACCTTATCCTAATTGACCTACACTTTATTTTTTACCTTTTTCTTATTTATTGCCAGATCCCTCCTTTGCCACCCGGCACTCTACTATGCAATGCAAATAACTTTGCATTGCTATTTTATTAAACCTTTGAACACAAGATGTGCATACAATCCCACCATGTGTGTGCACAGTGCTGATCCTGTTTTGCTAAAACAAATGTATATTTAAAGGGATACCCCAGACCCTTAAAGCACTTTAGCTTGCTGGAAAGCTTTCTGTGTGAAGAGTGTGCCCTCTTTTTAAAACAATTTTAAAAGTGCAGATTTCAATATAAATTGACTCTTTTATAAATTAAGGTGGTTACACCCCCTTGGCTTTTAAACTGAGAACCAGTCCTGATACTTCCTAGTTTGGTTAGTTCAGTGGAGCTAAACTCAAGAGACAGCAATTGCCCAGAGCACCTGCCTTACAAAGAATTCTCACTGAGCTGCATTAAAAGGTCTGTGATTAGATAGACACAGAAAGTCTGGATGAGGCTAAAAGTGGAAGGTTTGCAAAGCAGTGTTAATTTTGGCTGCAAATTTCAATTTAGTTTTAGTAATAGTCTTTTGAACTTAAAAGCCAATTTAGTTTTTGTAATATTTTAGTCATCTGAATTGTTTTAGTTTTAGTCTACTAAATCTACTGGAAATTTTAACCAACACGACTAAAAGCTAATGGGTTTAGTTAAATCCTCTGTCTATCTCTTTAGCCCCTTCCCTAGCCCCTCTGTGTCTCTCTGTGCCCTCCCAGGCCCTCTAGGTGTCTCTCTCCCAAGCTCTGGTCTCTCTCTTTTGCACCTTCCCAGCCCCTCTGGGAAGTAATAATTTTGGCAGCAAATTTCAATTTAGTTTTAGTCATAGTCTTTTGACTAAAATGCCATTTTAGTTTTAGTTTTAGTCTTGTTTTAGTCGATTAAATCTCAAAACTTTTAGTCGACATAAAGGACCACTATAGGCACCCAGACCACTTCAGCTCAATGAAGTGGTCTGGGTGCCAGGTCCATCTAGAGTTAACCCTGCAGATGTAAACATAGCAGTTTCAGAGAAACTGCTATGTTTACACTGGGGTTAATCCAGCCTCTAGTGGCTGTCTCACTGACAGCCGCTAGAGGCGCTTCCGCACTTGTCACTGTGATTTTCACAGTGAGAAGACGCCAATGTCCATAGGAAAGCATTCGGCGGATGACGTCGGAAGAGGGAGGAGAGTCCCCAGCGCCGAGGGAGCCCGGTGCTAGAGAAAGGTAAGCTTCAGCCCGGCGGGAGGTGAGCCTGAGGGTGGGGGGGACCCAAAGACCCTATAGAGCCAGGAAAACTATAGTGGTCCTCTAAATTGTTAGTCAACAAAATTAACACTGTTGCAAAAGCAGGAGAACTGCAGGTTTCGCAAACTTTTTATATTTACTCCCAATTAAAAAATGCATAATGAAATGCATACAAGTTTTCATTTGGGGTATATCTACTAAAAATGATTATTTATTTTGGATTTGGGCAGTGGAGTGTTTCTTCAAGGAATTTAATAGACTCAGGGTTTTTACTATAAAGAATTATACACTAAAAGCAATCGAAATTAGTCAAACTAAGATACAAATTAAAAAAAATAAATAAAATGTAATTCTTATTTTTGCTAAACGCCATTGATTATTTCAAATGAAAAAAAAACCACATTTTACTCTGTACCATTGTATAAAACACAGGAGTTTTATATTTTTCAAAAACTGAATTGTAACGAAATTCCGGCTGAACAAATCCTGTAGCAGGCAAGTTTGCAAATAAATTCACCTGCTCTTTAAACCTACAAAAAAAAAACTACATTTGCCCACTGGCAGTAGAAACATGTCAAAATAATGGTAAAAAAAATAATAGATTTGCTACAAATCAATTGCCAGTTCTCCTTTAAGACTGGCTGTGAAGCCGGATGCCACTCTTACAGGCCATTCATTGCCCATGAGCGTTAACAATTTTCTAAGGATATAATCTTCCTATTTTATTTTTCAATCTTTATATTTTAGTGAGTTATTGCGCCAACTCAATATTTAAACACATCTAAATCTGTGAGAATTAGTTGACCACTTTTATACAATGAGTTAAATTCTGTTCATCGAAATTTGCACAGAATTGTCCTCAGCTAGCCCAAACCTCTTGTTCCAAACTGCGGAAGGACAGGGTGCAGAGCTTTGGGGTTAAATAGTTTGTAAACAGTTTAATCCCTAAAGGTAAGCTGGTGCCAGTGGCCTCCTAATACCATAACAACTTCATTACAATGAAGTTGTTATGGTGCCAGACTATTCCTTTCAGTTAGCTACAGTGAATTGTACATTGAATTCCTGACAATACACACTATTTAGGGTTATTCTCTAAACACAGAACTGTAGAAAATTAAAATCCAAATGGAAAAACCGATGCTAACATGGCCAGGTTTGCGCCTACATTTTGCCATTCGGATTTTAATGCGCTATATTTCGCTGTTTAGTGAATACCCCCCTTTAAGAATAACCATGTACTGAGCATCCCTGCCATTGCCACTTGCAGAATAAACATGGCCTCAATATATGTCCCATGGCAAGGGGTGTGATTTAGATTTGCGATAAGGGAGTGAAGGAGAAGCACATGACACCACCATTTACTAAACATAGCGCATCTCTTTCACAGGTTCAGCGAAGTTTTTTTTGGGAAACAATAGAGTGCCATAACTAAGGAAGTCCGCCCAAGTTATAGAGCTCACAGGCCGCTCTGCACACGCATCATCTCTATGGTGAGTGAAAGGTCTCAAATGACGTCACTTTCCGCTTCCGCTCTCTCTTCGCTACGCGGTAGGCCAAGATGGTGAGTTGTTTGTTGGGTTCTCTCCCGTTTCAATCTGCCGGCATCCTCGCTGTCTGTAATCTGCACCGGCTCGGTCTATGGAGCCGCTTTACTAGTGACTCTCAGGGAACATGTCCAGAGGGATATTGCCGGCAATATTCGCTTTTATTGATGAATTTATACCGGGTGGGAGTTAGGAAATAGTCTCATAGGAATGGACGGGCCTTTAATGGAAGTTCCCTGTAAGCTTTCACCACGAGCGTACAGCGGCTGTCATTAAACCAATTATAGTTCATTCTCTATGAATTACAGTCGGTTATAACGCGAATTTACTTTTTTTTTTTTTTTCCTCTCATTGTCTTTGCAGTGTATTAAAGCAGACTAGTTTGCCTCTGCAGACATTTACAAAATACCTGTACAAACTACTGATGTACAATCACATCATTTAGATGGATGACGTTTGTATTACTGAACTGGGGTTTGAGCTATTGCAATGTGCTGGAACTCTTAATATGCACCATAACCACTACCACTCACTGCAGTGGCACAAGTCTGTGGGTGATGCCTCATATTTTATTGTATAACAATTTAAGATAAATGTGTCCAAAATTAAAACCACTGCTTCTAGCACCCACTAACACTTATGCATTTGCATTTAAACAGGTTGGCATTAAAATGCATATATCTAAGCATGGGCACAACTTTGCATCATTGTGAAGTTTACGGTGCAGGGACTACAGCTTACCGCATGCGTTTGTTCCTGGAACACAAGCTTTGTATCCTGTATATTGCGGGACATGGGTTCATATCAGAACCCTTTCAGAATTCGACACTTGCAACTGTTCACACAATTATGCATTAACCTATTGGGGGTTGGCTTTTAAACCGGCACTGTGACAGTCTGGGTGATTTGCTAAATTTACAAAGACCCCAGACTATGACATTGCCACTTGGGGGGGTGGGGGGGGCAGGGAAAGGTGAATTATACTTGCCCGAACCTGTCCCTTGCGGGCGCCACCATATTCTTGTGGTGGACCATCTTCAGCGAAGTGCCAGGAGCTGCTGTACTCTTGCACTTGCGCAAGCGCACAGCATTGCAGTCTGGATCTTCCATTGACAGAGCCAATTCCATGCTGCTGGGTGATACTTCTAGACGGCAGTAGTTCTCCCAGTGTCCAGAAGTGTCAGGTGTAGGAAATATACGTATGACAAAGTGGTCCCTATTTTGTCATTTGTTTTTAGTTAGAAACTGATAAATACCGGGGGGGTGGGAGAGGGGTAGTGAATAGGAAGCGATTGGGGGGGGGAAAGAAAGGCTTGACAGTGATGTTTTAGGTTACATTCCCTTTTAAAGTTGTTGACAAAAGTGCTAAATGTGTAACTTACGGTCTGCACATTCCCTGAAGTTTAATTTCTAGAGTTCACTGTGCATTTCTCTAGTTGACAAGCTTTCCACAATTCTTATAATTTGTTGGACCTTTATTTGGGAATGTCTGCATGTGCAGTAATATTTTTGGCAAATTCTAAATCTTTGCCATCAAAAAAATGAATGTGCAAACCACTATTTCCATTAGGTCATATGCTAGAACAGTGCATACTTTAAAGGAGCATCAGTTATGTTAGGAGTGCCCTGGCAACCTCCCAAGATGAATAGTAAGTTTGCTAATTATTTGCCAACTTACCTGGGTTCCTGGACACTGGTCAGAGCCTCTAGAACAGCTATAAGCCATTGGAGAGAACTTTTCACCTTTATTTTATTATGTATTAAGTGCAGGCATATTCTGTAGCGCTGTACAATGGGTGGACTAACAGATGCATAATTGTAACCAGACAAGTTGGGGTTGAGGGCCTTGCTTAGTGAGCTTACATGCTAGAGGAAAAGTGGTTTGGCTGCTTACCCTATGATGGTGCCGGGGCATGTTTGGCACCATAAATACTTGGTGATCAGTGGTTATGGTGCTTGTAGTGCTCCTTTGAATTTTCACATTTGACATGCCAGGTAAAATTTAGATTTTTTTTAATTGGGAGGTGGATTCTATAATGGAGCAAGACCTCAGAATTTATTTTATGGAATTAGATGGGTTTGTTAAATGGCGTTTTCTTTTCCAATAGGTCAATGTTCCGAAGACACGTCGGACCTACTGCAAGAAATGTGGGCGTCATCAGCCACATAAAGTGACTCAGTACAAGAAGGGAAAAGATTCCCTGTACGCCCAAGGTAAGAGCAAAGCTGTGTAGATGTTATGTATGGTATGTTACATGTGATTGTGTGGCAGGTTAGATGCTAGTGAATTGTTTTGTCTGTCTTGATTAGCTTATCCCACTGATAGTATGTACTTTCTTTAGTGTTGTAACTGAAACTATATTCCCTTCTTACGTTACTTGTCACCTTACATTTACTAGTGCATAAAAATGATGTATGAAACTTTAACATTAAAGTGATGTGGATGGTATATTGCATTCTATTCATGTCTACAGCTTTTGGTTAGTTTTATTTCTTCTTTCAAGTAATTGAGATGCAGTACGTTGTATTGCATATCTGATATTGCTTGTAGAGGCAACTAGAAGGCTATTTAAAGGGACACTAGATTCACCCAAATCACTTAATCTCATTGAAGTGGTCTGGTTGCAGTGTCCCAGTCCCAATTAGTCCTGCAATGTAAATCATTGCAGTTCTTGAGAAACTAATAATTATGGCTGTCTGACGGCCTCTAGAGGCAGTCTTAGTCCTGCAATGTAATTATTGCAGTTTCTCAATACTGCAATAATTACCTTGCAGGACTAACACTGCCTCCAGTAGCTGTCAGACAGCCACTAGAGACACTTCCTGGTTGCTAACAGACTTTCGGTCGCCTAACCCATCGGATTAGGAGGTGGATCGCCGACCCAGCAACAAGGAACCTCGGCTCTGGAATCTGGTAAATTACTAAAGGGCTTTTTTCCCTTTCGTTGCTGGATGGGGAGGAGGGACCAGTGGACTCTATAGTGTTAGGAATACAAATTTGTATTCCGAACACTATAGAATCCCATTAATTCAATTTTGTCTATTGTGCATGCACACACAAGGCTTTCCTCTTCCCTGGATAGCAAAACACAGCCTGGTTTAGCTTATCTGCCACTTAGGAGTTTATGGGATAAGATCGGTCCCTGGCTAGAATGAGGCTATTGTGATTAGAGCTATAATTTGTTTTACCTAGAAAATCCTTTTTAAATGTGATAATTTTTCTAAACTACAAATTAATTGCTGACTGTGTTGTACTTTGCTCAATAACCTATTCACTTAATGCATCTCCCAACAGGAAAGAGGCGATATGACCGCAAGCAAAGTGGTTATGGTGGACAAACAAAGCCTATCTTCAGGAAGAAGGTGGGTGTCTTTGTGTTGTTTTTTTTTTTTTTTGTTTCCTTCTAAAAGAAATATTAAAGAATCAATGGTGTAAAAATTACTCTTTAATATAAAGCATTGCTAATTTGCAGAAAAAAAAACTGCAAGAGGAGGCTCCACTAATCTAGAGCCTTTCACTTTTGTCTATGGGGTCTCATGTCATCTCATAAACCAATGTCCAACAGTAATTTTATAGGACAACTAGTTTTATAATTAAAAAAAAAAGTTGGTCATCACATAGGATTAATAAAGTGATGGATGCCCTTTAACGTTTGGGTGTATGCAGGGCTTGGACTGATCTCTTTTGGAAAGAAACTAAAATTCTGCATGCATGACTTTGACAAAGATGAGAAAATACTATAATCACTTTTTAACTTGTTTAACCCCTTCCCGACCGCAGGTGTATTAGGTATGTCCAACAAAAATGGTCCTTAAGGACCTCTGACATACCTAGTACATCTGCAGCATTCCTAATTACTTACTTGATCGCTGCTGTTCTCCCGCCAGCGATAGACAGTCGCCCCCAAAACGAGAGGAATGACAGTCCTCCCTCTGCAAATTAGGCACCCGCTGGCCATGTGATCGCTCTGAAATATGTAACTTTCCAAGACCCCCTAAAACCTGTACATTGGGCTACTCTATGTATATTTATATATATTTTCAGTGAAACTTACGTTTTTTGCCTTTTTCACACAAACTGCACTTTCACTGTTGATATTGTGATAAGCTTTACTGTTTTGAAACACTAATATTTGTGTTCAGCAAAGTCTCCGGAGTATAACAGTATCCCCGATGTACAGGTTTTATAGTGTCTTTGAAAGTTACAGGGTCAAAAATAAGGCTTGCTTTTCAGTTTTTTTTCCACATTGAAAATTGCTGGATTGGTTATGTTGCCTTTGTGAGCGTATGGTTGCCCAAGAATGAGAATTACCCCCATGATAACATACCATTTGCTAAAGAAGACAACGCAAGGTATTGCAAATGGGGTATGTCCAGTCTTTTTTATTAGCCACTTAGTCACAAACACTGGCCACGGTTAGCGTTTATCTGTGTTAAAAAAGCAAAAAAACTACTACTAATGCTAATTTTGGTCAGTGTGTGTCTAAGTGGCTACTAAAAGACTAGACCTACCCCATATTGAATACCCTGGGTTGTTTGTATTTATAACTATTTCCATCTGGGCATTACATTGTGGCATTCTTTTTAATTGTGCTGAAGCACAGCCTGGTTGAATGGAATTCAGCAAATAAACTTGGTATTTTGCTTGACTTTCCTTTAGACTGCAGAGCTACTTATCCAGATTGCATGTACACACTAGTTTGTCCTTTAACGAGAAGTAGGGAAGGTATAAATTTCACCAATTCAAAGAAAACATGACTCTCTTTACTTTTTATTTCATTGCAGGCTAAGACCACAAAGAAGATTGTGCTGAGGCTGGAATGCGTTGACTCAAACTGCAGATCCAAGAGAATGTTGGCAATCAAGAGATGTAAACACTTTGAACTTGGAGGTGACAAGAAGAGAAAGGTGTGTATTTGTATTTAGATGTATAACTAGGAAGCATTTTTATGAACACAGAAAAAAGGGGCACAGTGAAATGAAAATAGAATGGCATGGTTAAGACTAGCTATAAATATAATGGCACTTGAAAAATTTTACAAAAAGCATTTGGCTTTCATTTTGCAGTTTTGTTTTTATATTAGAATTCAGTGCACAGTGAATATAATTATTTGACTTTCATATGTGGGATCACAGAATGAAAAAATTAAAATGATGGGTTTTGGAAAGTATATTCCAAACTTTTTCTCTTTGGTTAATGATGTAGAAACTATAGTTCTGTGAAATAATTTTGTTCCTAATTTATTTATTTATTCTCTTTTTAGGGACAAGTTATCCAGTTCTAAATTGCTGCAGTGTTTGTTTCCAACTAATAAAATTGTCATATGATCAAATTCTTCAAGTTTCGTTTTTTTATATATATATATATTCTATATTTATATTTCTTCCATTAGACTTCAGTGTCCTGCTTGTTTTTCAATAGTTACATTAATATATTCCAAATATGTATTTGGGTATTTGAGACTGTTGCAAACAATCACGGCTACATATGCATTTCTGCTCTTTAAAGCAGCTCTGTGACTAAATCACACACTTTCTGTACCAATTTGTGCCTGGAGTTTCACAATAGGACTGGTAGAACAATACACAAATGTGATCTGCTTTGATCTACATTTTGTTAAACTAGTCAATCGCGTCAACTATTCCAATAATGTGATGCCCAGTATACATTATTTCTTATCCCTTGAATACCTACAAGCTCTTTATTTACAATTTCTTTAGACCAGTGCTGTCCGATATTATTAGTGTGGCTGGACAGATCTGACAACACCTACAAATATTCCTGGGGTGATATACACATTACCTGTATCCATGTTGGCATTCTAGTAAATTACCAGGACCCTTTGTATTTGTAATGCAGCCCCATGTCAGAACACCTGCAGTATTCTCCTCTTCCTCTTAAAATATCTAACACTGCTCTTTCAGCACTTGTACTTTTAGACTTAAAAATAGAGGGCGCCATCACACGCCTGACTCCATAAATTTAGGGGATAATTAAGTAGTCTTACTTTTAGTTATGCAATAGTATGTGTATTTTTTTTAATGGATTTTATGGGTTTGTGGTAGAATCCTCACAATTAAATTCTAATTTGCATGTGTAATCTGACATAAATAGTAATCTCAAAGTAATAGACTGAACTAATGTACTAATCAGCAGGAGAACTGCTACATAACATGGAACTGGAATCTTTCCTTTACCCATAATTTCCACTCATTGGTTCTAGAATGTATAGTTTTCCTATTAAACAATGTAAAGATATAGTAGAATCCAATAATGATATAAAATTTATTAAATGTTAGCATTTTGTCAATATTACAAAAATACAAGTTTTTTTTATTCACTAAATGTGGAGAACAACGAAATTGCCACTTTTTAGATGAGCTGAAACTTGTGAATCGTCCAGTTCCTGGTTTAGTAAATAACACAAAACCAGTGGGGAATATACAGCATAAGTGTTAACATTTATAGATCAACTTCTATTATCTTTGTGAATACAGTATTTACAACTACAAAGATAATCTAACCCGATTGTCAGACAAGTCACTTGATCCTTCATGTAAACAATCCTTTACAAACTAAATGATATAAACTTTTTTGGGCACTTAAAGGACCACTACTAGTTTGTTTTCCTGGCACTATAGGGTCTTTAGGTCCCCCTCACCGTCATGGACCCTCTCCTGCCAGGCTGAAGGGGTTAAACTTGCCTTTCTCCGGCGCTGGGAAACTCTCCTCCTCCTGCCGCGCACATTCAAACAGTCCATAGGAAAGCTTTGCTCAATGCTTTCCTATGGACGTCAGCATCTTCTTACTGTGATTCAGTGAGACAGCCACTAGAGGTTGGATTAACCCTATTGTAAACATAGCCATTTCTCTGAAACGGCTATGTTTACAGCTGCAGTGTTACCCCCTAGATGGACCTGGCACCCAGACCACCTCATTGAGCTGAAGTGGTCTGGGTGCCTATAGTGGTCCATAAAAGCGCCATACCTAATCCATCTTCAGGTTATGGTGAAAAGTGGACATCAGTAAGAATCATTGCAACTGTACACCTAGTCTTCAATGGACCGTGCTCGAGCAGGGAGCAATACAAATATTTGGATGGTGTGTGCATGCGTCTCATTCTACAGGCTACAGTTAATTGCAAAGGAACTTGATCTGCTTTGATGCAGTTGTCTCCATTTTACTGACAAAGTGGAGAATGAAACTGTCACTACAGCTGAAAGCAGCTGGCATCAGTCTGAACAGGATTGTACAGGCTGAGGTTGACAGATTCTAATATGGATTGCACTTTGCAGTCATGGCCAAAACAGAACTTATTTAGGAAAGAGACTACTAAAGGAAAACAATCATGTATTTCTGACCTTATAGTGTTAAAACCACCACCTGGCTCTTACTAAATATAGTAAAATCTTACTTTTATTAAAGTCTGCGTGCTTGGCTGACATCAATCACAATGTGGCTGAGACTGTCAAGGAGGCAGAGCCAGCCCAAGTCAAAAATAGCCCTGGCTAATCAGCATATCCTCATAGAGATTAATTGAATCAATGCATCTCTATGAGGAAAGTTCAGTGCATCACACACTGTCCCAGGAACAACTCTAGTGGTCAGTGGAGATATGCATAGGCAGTAATGTAAATACTGCATTTTCTCTAAACGCATTTACGGCAAAAAACCTAAAAGTAACTTTACTACTAACCAGAACAAATACATTAAGCTATAGTTAAGGTAAAAGCCATTTATCTTACTCTAGTAGCCCTTTTGAAGGGCTGGTGAACGCACACCTGGTGGCCAGATAGTTATTGCTGGGTTTATATATCCTGATATTGGGCTCTAGATAAAGAAATGGCACATTTTGCCAAGATTGTTTTGTGCATGTATGTAGTACTCTGCAATCTATAAGTGGAATGTAACACCATGCCAGTGTACTCTTTATATATGTAGCGTACACACATGTGCGTGCTTCTTGTGGCATGGATTGGGAGGAGGTGAGAGTGAAACAGCAGCTCGTTGTGTTGTCCATAGCTTATGATAAATGAAGGGCAAGCAATCCTTTACAAAAGCCAGATGGAGCTCTCCAGGAACTGCATCCCCCTCACCAAGTCTGTCCAACACACAAAAAAATGTGTATCTGAACCTATTCTGCCAAGAACAACCTCTGCTACCTGGCCTGTCTGTCCCGAGGATAGGCAAACACTGGGAAGCTCATGGTGAGTGGCCTTTTATATGCCTAGGAGCGGTGGTACTGCAGTTTCAATGCTACTGGTCCTGTGAGAGAGTAATGGGCAGATACCCATTTGTGATGAATGGCGATACCACCACCATGTTTGATATTTGAAGAGAAAAAAAAAAAAACGTGGAGCCTTGCAATGCGCTGTTATAGAACCAGAACGTGACTGTGCTCCCATAACATTTTACAACACTGTTGAACTTCCTTTGAGCAGTTCTTAATGACAGAGCAACAGTTTCTGGGATGTGTAGTTATAGTAATGAAAGCTAACAGCTGGGAAAAGTGCCTGACGGCCATTGGAGGAAGGCACTCAGGTCTGCTGTCCCCTTCTTTGAGAGTCTCCATTTTAAAGCCTCATCAGCTGCTCGGGTGAAAGCGTCTGTGACTTCATACAACTATCTAACATCTCTGTTACAAAACTGCTGGAAATTTGTACTAACGTTGCTTAGCCACTACCTAGTTCACCGGGCTACTTCTGACTGGCAGATTCTTATTTTCTTACATATAATTCCCATTCTCTCTATTTATCCCTGAGATAACAGGGACATTTATTCTTTGTATATTCCCTTGATCCTACCTTTGACACCTAAAGTTGGTGTTTAGCGCAATTTACCTTATCCAATCCATTATACATGTTCTTTTTAGCTCTCCTCTTTTTCTCTCCAAAAACACTTAATTTGAGAGCTTCTCTAGTTACTGTGGCCTTTTAGATACAGTGTGAATATGTATGTTGGACCTTTGTATTATTGCATTGATATAAGCACCTTTTAATGCTACCTTCTTACTCTTGCTAATACTCCATACTGTAATGATAAGCATTGTCTGTTTAAGGCACCAATATGTATGTGTTTGTCTTTTGACTGGTATGGCTTCGTTACATTAACTGTGCATTACTATAAAATAAAGATACAGCTAATTGTTTAAAGGGACACTGTAGGCACCCAGATTACTTCAGCTAATTGAAGTGGTCTTGGTGCTGTGACCCTTTTGCACTTAGTGCTGCAATGTAAAACATTTCAGTTCTAGAGAGTCTGCCCTCTGTGTCAGGCTCTGCCCTCTGTGGCTGTCTAACATACAGCCACTAGAGGGCTTCCAGAATCCAAACAGACTTTTGGTCTGTTAGCGGACACTGGACGTCTTCACGGACCACCAGCATCAGATTTTCCCCATAGGAAAGCATTGAATAGTGCTTTCTTATGAGGAGTTGTAATGCCCGCAGGGCCATTGCCGCGCAATGCGCGCATGCGCATTAGGTCTCTCTCCCATCGGCGGGGAAGGAGCATGGGCAGAGCCTGACCCTTTGCCAAGGGACATCGGCACTGGATTCAGGTAAGTGTCTGGAGGGGTTTTCCTGGCACTATATGATCCCTTTAACTACAACTCCCAGAAATCTAATGACATGAAAGGTTTTTTGTTTATTTTTTAAGTGGAAAGTGCTTTGGGAGAGAGACACAATCCATGGCTATTAGAAGATTGTTTAAAACAAACAAACAGCATGCACTTGTTTTGTGTACAGTTTCACTTTGATAACAGTGGCACGGCTAATACTACAGTGAACATGAGATTTGAACTACCTAAGATTGTCTTTCAGGGCCAAGTGATCCTCACCAACCAAAAACAAACCTCTAGCTATTTACGTAGAATTATTACTCCCTAGGAACAAATGCAGAAATAAAAACACTTTCACTGTCAATTAGAACTTAACTGAAATGTAGCAACACCAACAGAGTTCTGTTAACACAAACTGGTCACAGAACTGTTTATGTGAGGGTAATCATACTGGCTGACTGTGCAGCTGTATTTGACGGACAACTTTTTGTTATGGATTGTTGAGCCATTGTGTGCTTGCTGAAACATTGCAACTGCTTAAAGGACCACTATAGTGCCAGGAAAACATACTCGTTTTCCTGGCACTATAGTGCCTTGAGGGTGCACCCACCCTCAGGGTCCCCCTCCCGCCCGGCTCTGGAAAGGGGTTAAAACTTACCTTTTTCCAGCGCTGGGCGGGGAGCTCTCTGCCTCTGTTCCTCCCCGTCGGCTGAATGCGCACGCACGGCAAGAGCTGCGCGCGCATTCAGCCGGTCGCATAGGAAAGCATTATCAATGCTTTCCTATGGACGCTTGCGTGCTCTCACTGTGATTTTCAATGAGACAGCCACTAGAGCCTTTGGGGGAAGGCTTAACCCATTCATAAACATAGTTTCTCTGAAACTGCTATGGGTGCCTAGAGTGGTCCTTTAAGCTTTCTACCAGCAATCTGAGCAAACAAAATTACAACGTGCTTAAAGTTAAACTATAAGCACCAAAACAACTTTAGCTTAATGAAGCAATTATGATGTATATATATCATGCCCCTGCGGTCTCACCATTTTATTCTCTGCCATTTAGGAATTTGTACAGCCCTAGTCACACCTGCCGGCATGTGACTTGCACAGCCTTTCTACACACTTCCTGTATGATGAGATCTAATGTTTTAAATCCTTTATTGCAAATTCTGTTTAATTTAGAATGTATTATCTCCTGTTAATAGCCTCCTAGACTCTGAAGGATCCTCCTGTGTGCTATTAAAGTTCTATTTACAGAGGGGGAAATAAAAACCTCTATAGCAAGTTGACTTTTGGTTGAAAGTGAAACCACTTTTTTTTTTTATGTAGTCTGTGTGAGTCACAGCCATGGAGGTGTGGCTAGGGCTGCATGGACAAAAAAAAATAAAGTGATTTAACTCCTAAATGGCAGAGAATGGAGCAGTGAGACTGAAGGGACAGGATCTAAAAAGTTGTTTTGATACCTCTTGTGTCCCTTTAAAACTGATGGAATCCAAGTTGAAGTGCATCTCTTCAGAGTGACAGTCTGGTTCTATGACTGTAAATTTTGGATTCTCACTGCAAAGGGTTAACTTCTTGGTTCCCACAAACTGTCCTTTCCCTTTGTTGCTGCTGCTTCAGTTTGAGGGCTTGCATAGCTCTTCTGTAAAGATCTGGTAGGCAAGAATACAA